AAAAAATTTTAAAGAATGTAGAATATTTCAATTGTATACGTATAAGATGCTAATTTAATATTAGGTCATTACCCGCCAAATTGTTTCTAATTTTCGCCAGGATGGGGGATAACATTACAATATGGTTATATTGATTTTATCGTTTGGTAATATGTTTGCGATAGTGCTTACGTATTTATGATCCTTCTTTTTTGGTTTATTTTTATGGTGGTAACCCTACTACTTTTAAGCAATTCGATTTTTTTAAAAAAAGATTTAACCATTTTTATATTGGACGCCATTTTTCTGCAGTATTCTATTTATGTAATTCGCGTTGGGTAATGGATATCTCAGAAATTACTAGTAATTACCAGTATTATTTTTTAAAAAGATGTATGAGAATTCCATGTCAAATTATTATGGATTAATAAGTTTACCAAATTTGCTCTTTTGGTGAAATCTTTTTTTTAAAGAGATTTAATTTTTTTTCCCGACCTTAGTTAAGATATTACTGATTTCGCCCAATGGGAAATGTGATAAATCTGGTAAAGACGTAACAACTATTTCTCAAAAAGTAATGAAGTGGGTAATCGAAATTTTTACCGAGAATGGATCTTATAGTGGGAATTTCAACTGAGAGACACACACACACAACACATAACAATAAATCTATCAGGGAAAATTCTTTGTTTAATGTTAGTAAATTGCGAATTTCTACTGTTTTATTTTTAATAAACGATTTCGTAATCTTTTTTTTTTTTTTTACGTCCGTCGGTAAAATGTCATAAAGTCGATTTTTTTCGTATTTAATTCTTCTTTTAGCCTCAAATTAATTATTTATTTACTGCTTTCGCTTCTTTTAATTTCTTTTTTCCCCCACCATTTTGAAATTCCTCATATTCAGTTTCTTTATCCTGGTATTTATTCTCTTCAGCGACGTTTTACATGGAAAATGTAAGTAAATTTCTTCTTATTCCACTTTTTTAATCATTTTAAATGGTTATAATTCTACAGTTCTCAGTTACTTCATCGTTTCAGTAATATTTTTGTATTCTTCACAACTGGATTTTTGTAGCGTCAGGCGGACATTTTGAATAAAATATACATTCCGTTTATATAAAGCCTGATTGGCGGGATTTTTACCGGAGCCGTATATTTTTTTTAGTTTTCCCCGTGGAACATGCAACTTCCGTTGTGGAGCAAAAATTCAAATATTTCGTGTTTTCACAAACTTTATGGAAAACATGAGTCTGTTTTGCATATACAACTTATAATTGTCTTTTCCATTTTTTAACACTAGAACGTCTGGGATTTTGATTACCCTTAAACGCCCGTCGGTGTCATTTCGGCGCCACGATATAAAATGTGTAAAATACTTGTAATCACTTAATAATTGCAGGGCTACTGTCCAGTAGAGCTTAGTTTTAAGACTTTTTAATAGTATTTCATGTAATTATATCCTATATTTTGGCCCATAATATCATAAGAAAATGGACATAGACCTTATGTTTCGTGGAGTTTGTTGAACCACTGCTTGGTCGCAAAACATTTCAAGACTTTCTAGTGCTAACTCGTGGAACCCCAAGCAGTGGCGGCGTGAGACCTGAACTTAATGTGGGCAAGATACATTTCGCGAAGTCCTCTCTGGTGACGTCAGAAGGGGGTTTATAAAAGAACAAAAAAAAAAAAAATTATTAATAAAAAAAAAAAAAAACCAAAATTTTTACTCATACTTCTGTGGAACATTAAACAATTATGAAAAAAATAATTAAACAAACAGAAATTTTCTACTTCAAGTTTTGCTGAAATCCTTAATGATTGTGTGTGTGTTTGTGGTTCGTAATTTATCTTACAAGGGGAGGACACGACTAAGGAAATACATTTCGGGTCGAGACTTGATGTAATAGTAGTACTACTCCCTTAGGGTGTTCAACCTTCAATGTAATTCCGCCGAATGGCCAGTCAATTCGAAGAAAAAAGTCTTTGAAATTCATGCTTAGCTTTTATACAATTAAATTTAAATTTCCTCCTATTAATTAAAATTATTAATAATTAAAATTATTTAAAATAATTACTGAACAAAAAAATTAAATAATTATTAAAATTATTAATTAAATATTAAATTTATTAATTTATTATTAAATTTATTAATTTATTATTAAATTTATTATTTATTATTGAAATGATTAATAATTTCTTAAAAATTATTTAAATTTATTTAAAAAGGACTTACAAAATGTTTTATAAAATAATTAAATTAATAATATATAAAAAAGATATATTTTTTATTATATTAATTATAAAATAATTAATTTAATACTAATATACTTTATAAATTATCTTATATTATATACAATATCTTATTTATAGTATATTGTATTTCACATTATTCAATTATTTGTAACTAATTTTTGTGTATAATATCATTTAATACTTATTATATATTTTATTATAAATATTATTTATTAATATAAAAATATATTTATAAAATTTAATATAAATATTTATGTAATTACAGTATTTTCTTTACTTTATAAAATACAAAATAATTACATGAAATATCATTTAATATTTGATAAACCATTCATAAACAAGTTTATTTAATTTTAAAAATAATTAAATGAAACGAAAAAAAGAAGTTGATCGATGAATCGAACCTTGACCTCGCGCAGAGTATGCACACGATATATCAACCAGGCAATGAAATCGTTGGAGGAAATTCAAATTTAATTGTATAAAAGCTAAGCATGTATTTCGAAGGCTTTTTTCTCCGAATTGACTGGCCATTCGGCGGAATTACTTTGAGAGTTGAACACCCTAAAGGAATACTACTATTACACCAAGTATAGACTCCAAATGAATTTCCTTAGTCGTGCCCTCCCCTTGTTAGATGCTATATCTGCTTCAATAGATAAAACTGCCAAAGCTGAAAGTGTTTCCTGACTCAATGTATTTCTTACATAACTTTTTATTAACTTTGGTTTTGAAAAGATCCTTTCAGCAGAAACGGTACTTAGAGTTATTATTCAGAAAATTCGAAAGACAATGTAAATATTTCGGAAGATTTCTTTCAAATCGTTCTCGCGACATTTTGGAGCAAATGTTTCACGTCTGTAATGATGTTGGGTAAATTTGGGATCATATTTTGTAATTCTTCATATATTTTCAAGGTTGGAAGTCACTGCTCTCACCTACTTGCAGAACTGTATGTAACTCTTGACAGTTTTTCAGTATTTGCTGTTTTGTAAAATTTTTTAACTTGTTTAAGTTATAGAGAAAGCCAAAATTTTTCAAAATGTTGATTTAAAGACATACATCTTGAATACATATTGCTTGTCACAGAATCAATCATGGTATTAAATATGTCTGTTTCTTACCGGCTTTCCACAGACTCTTTAGGTTTATCACCGCCTACATCATCAAATATTCTTCTCTTTTTGTGGTTACCTTTTTATTTTTAAAATCTTTTGGCAAATCATAACTGCTTGACTTACGAGTGTCAGGCAAGCATTTTCCGAATCCTGTTTGTCGATACTCTTTGATCCAGCTGCAAAATGACCGCATATGTTCAAAAGTAATGCATAAATGGGCTTGCACAGATTGCCATAATATGCTTATGGTATTTGGCTTGCGTTAATAACTCATACCCTACAAAAAAGTAATGATACGATAAATTCCAAACTGAACACTTCCTTTCAAACGAAATCATAATCACTGAGTGTGTGTCAGATTATTCCGTTTGGTTTTTGAAGTTATACTTCTTTTGGGGCTTTGGAGAAATAGGATGAGGGTAAATTTTTACAATGCGCGCGCACACCGTCACGGATGTGAAATTCCTTTGTCTAGAAATATACATAACGGGACAAATATCTCAGAAAAATATGTCTCTTCACTTCCCTGAAGAACTGGAAACCTTCCACCCGGGTTTGAACCGGAGATCTCTCGATCTGCAGCCGAATACTCTACCACTGAGGTATACACCCCGTGTCAAAAAGTCTTTGCCTTGCGTTCTGTAGAAACGGATACGAAAATGCTATGTCTAGAAATATATAGAACGGGACAGATCATTTCCGCCTTTGAAATTCTCAAAAAAAAATTAGTTCTCTTCACTGAAAATGAAGGCACCCGGGTTTGAACCGGGGACCTCCCGAAGTGCAGTCGAATGCTATACCACTGAGCTGTACACCCCGTGTCAGAGGGCCTTTGCTTTGCGTTCCGTAGGAACGGATACGAAAATGCTGTGTCTAGAAATATACAGAATGGGACAGATCATTCCCGTCTTCAAAATCTTCAAAAAAATTTTCTCTTCCCTTGCCTGAAGAAGACCGGGTTTGAACCGGGGACCACTCGATCTGCCGTCGAATGCTCTACCACTGAGCTATAACTCCAATGTCAAAAAGCCTTTGCTTTGCATTCCGTAGGAACGGATACGAAAATGCTTTGATTAGAAATATGCAGAATGGGACAGATGATTCCCTCCTTCGAATTCTCAAAAAATATTTCTCTTCACTTCCCCGAAGAAGGTAGCATCCGGGTTTGAACCGGGGACCTCTCGTTTTGCAATCGAATGCTCTACCACTGAGCTATACCCCCGCGACAGCGAATCTTTGCTTTGCATTCCGTAGGAATGGATACGAAAATGCTTTGTCTAGAAATATGCAGAACGGGACAGATCATTCCAGCCTTCGACCCCCTCTCCATATTATTGTCCCTGTGCGGGGTTGTTTAAATTTATTTACATCGTGATTATCTCAGGTTTGGAGTGTCCGATTGACTGAAAGTTAGTATCGTTCAACTCTGCTCGTGACCGCCTTTCGTCCTTGGCCCACAGCTTGCCCTGCTAAAGATTTTTAGAAAGATTTTAATCTTGTTACGCCAAAGAAGTATAACTTCTTACGTGCGTACATAAGTACACACACACACTTTTTTTATAGCTTGTGTGTGTTTGTAACTATTTATTCATTAATTAAATTTAATTATTCAAATAAAGTAGTAAAGAAATATATTCTCAGAAATTAAGCCATCCCAAGTGGGACTCGTACCCACGATCTTTCGATTAGCAGCCGAAAGCACTATCCATTGCGCTACAGAGACACAACGAACGACTTTCCTTACTATATATGCTGTTGGACTACTATTTTGTTTGTCACTATTTATTCATTAATTAATATTTGAAAAAAACTGTATTAACATCAAGCGTTATCCATTACAAGTTTTAAAAAATGTATTTGAACTTGAATGGATGAATAGAAAGTATTTTATTAGCGGTTGAAAATTTGAACAAAATATATAAATAAATAAATGTATAGAAAGAGAGTGAACTCTCTCTCTCTCTAATAGGGGGAACTGAAAAATCCCGAGATAAATAAAACCTATTATATATATTCTCTTTCACCGGCTGGGTGGCGTAGTTGGTTTGTTGCTGGCTTTGTACGTCCAAGTTTGCGGGTTCGACCCCGGCACGGGCTGCGGTAGCCCAGTGGTCAAGGCATCGGATCATGGCAGGTATGTCATGAGTTCGAGCCCAGTACCACTAAAGACCCGGCGTATAGAGCAGCGATGCACGTTAAATCTGTCGAGAGGTGAAACGTCCTCCCGTTGGTGTGGTAGTTAGGAGAGGAGGGTGCCAGCTCAGGTGTCGTCCACGTCACTTGACCATGGTTCAAAATTAGGTGGTCTGTCGCCAAAAGCACTCGTGTAGCTAAAAGTGCGACGTTAATATTCACTCACTCGACCCCGATGCATAATGCAAAATATAGTAGCGTCCATGTCGCATGATTATGTGGTATGTTAAAGATCCCTAGAGTGCTCTTGGATAGACAAAATTAAAATTCCTAATTCCATTCTACTACTGCTGCTTGGACCAAATAATAAGAGCTCCTGTATATTAAATAACCTCAAGTGAGCCTCATAATTTTCACACAATAAGGCCGTGGTAGCCTAGTGGTTATGGCCATTAACTCATGAATTCGAGTCCGCCACTGAAGAATTGCCATGTAGAGGGTCTGATGCATATTAAATCTGTCAAGGATCAAAGTCCTCCTGTTGGCGTGGTGTGGTAGTCAGGAGAGAGGAATGTCAGCTTAAGCGTCGTCCGTGTCACTTGACCGAGTTTCAAAATTATGAGGTTCTTCGCTTTGATTGTTTCTCTCGAAGTGTGGGTTAGAGTACTGATGCCGAAAAAGATCTGGTCTCAAAGTGCTTTTGTTGGCCCGGTGTAGGAGTTTGGAGGGTGGGGTGTCAGCTCAGGTATATCGTCCTCATTTTGCTTATCAGTACCTCAAAGTTACAAAGTCTATCACCAATACATCTGATGATGTGAATGTGTGTGGTGTTTTTAAGTCACACGTTTAAAGAAACACGATAGCTATTGATTGATTGAATATTAACGTCGCACTGTTCAGCTACACGAGAGCTTTCGGCTACGGACCACGTAATTTTGAACCATGGTCAAGTGACGTGGACGACACCTGAGCTGGCACCCCCCTCTCCTTACTACCCCACCACACCAACGGGAGGACGTTTGAGCTGTCGACAGATTGAACGTGCATCGCGTTTCCACACGGCGGGTCTTTAGTGGTACTGGGCTCGAACTCACATGACATGCCTGCCGTGATCCGATACCTATACCACTCGGCTACCGCTGCCATGATAGCTATTGGAGACGGACCTCATAATTTAAAATTGTGGTCAAGTGACGAGGACGAGACCTAAGCTGGTAATCTATTCTTCTAACTTCCACATCACAGAAAAGGATTACTTTGAGTAACGATAGATTTAACGTGCATCAGCTCCTCTACATGGTGGGCTTTTGGGAAAGTCAGATCTCGATCCCGTGACTTAACAATGCCAACCTCGACTTCGCGACCATGACCACTCGGCCACCCCAATAGCTCTGATATTGCTCCTTAATGATACGTTAATAATCCATCAACGATGATGTTTAGCAACGTCTTCCTTCCTTCTCCGAGGGCTCGACAGCCGAGTCTTTCTCAAGAAGTAAGTCTTTTGCCTTCTTCCCGCGAGTGTTCTACAATTTTCAGTTCTCAAAACTAGGGAGCCTTTTTCTAGGCCAGGGGTGCCCAAGACGCGGGCCGCCAGTATGTAAGTTGTGGCCCGACGACTTTTTTTAAAAAATTTTTAAATATCAGATTTTTAAAGATTTTTCATTGTGAAATTTATTTGAGGGGAATTTTATATATATATTATATATCTACAATTTATTTGCCTGTCACCTGTTTTTTTTTGTTTTAAAATAAATCCTTTAGATTAAAATAGCTTTATATTTTATGAAAGAGTTACATTTGATTTTACTATAGTAAGTTACTTTTTTTAATAAATTTCGAATTGCATTATGCATATCCTTTAATATGGATGGTACATGATTCTCTGTGTGCGACTTTCGTTTCTCCTCCTCCTTTTTTGTTTGGAGTGCCCAAAAAGCAAGAGGCAGTCAGAGATGTTTTTTAAAGTTTAAAAAAAATAAGGACAATGTATACTTAATCGTTTGCGAATGACAGAGCAATCAAATTTCAACAATGAGCAACGAAAGATCAATTCAATAGGAACATCGTAATTTTCAAGAAAATGGCAACTGTTAAATTTTAAACATTATTTGATCATTGCATTATTATATTGTCTATGTCTGTATACATGAAAAATAATGAAAACAATAATAATAATTGATTCTGTTTTAAATTTTCACTCCAATAAATGATTTTTTTTTGCTTCCAAATCTGATATAAAAGTACATATTTTTATGTGCGGCCAGCGAGATTATGATGTTTTTCCGAAATGGCCGCAAGGTCATTTAAGTTGGACACCCCTGTTCTAGACCACCTTTGAATTGACCTGCCTTTTCTCTGTGTGCTAATTGGTTGGGCATTGAAAACTTTTTTAGTGGTGCGGTCTTCATCCATTCTGACAACGTGGCCTGCCCATCTATTGAACATAAAATTAAACTATAAAGTGATCAAAATCTTCTCATTTTGTAAGTGAAAATCTGAATTTCTCTTATTACAGGAAAAGAGAAAAGAACCAGAGCGAAAGAGCATGGATTTCTCCAAGGGATCCCTCACAGCGTTCGATTATGTGATACTTGCAGCAATGCTGTTACTTTCAACATGTATCGGGATATATTACTACTTCTTGGATCGTAGAAAACCTCACGGAGAGTACTTCCTTGCCAGCCGAAGCATGCCGGTAGCCCCCGTCGCCTTTTCTCTCATGGCAAGTTTTTTGTCTGCTCTTACCATTCTAGGCCTGACAGCTGAGTTTTATATGCATGGCACACAGTTCATTATGATCAACATAGGTTATGTGGTTGGAATGCCAGTTGCTACCTTCGTCATTTTGCCAGTATTTTTCAATATGCAAGCTGCCAGTGCTTTCGAGGTATTGTGTGGGTGTATTTCCTTCCTTCATTTTTAACGTATTTGTGACCTTGAATTTTCAGGTACATATTAGCATCGTCGCCGTAGCAAAATTGGCGTCACGCGAATCGCACCTTGATATCAAAACAACGAAGATTCTATATGAAAAATGCCAATCACTGTCAGATTTTGATGAAAAATGGCGTAATTTACGTGGTGCAAATTTGGCTGCTGTGACGCTAATAAGCAAGTACCAATTTTTATTAGTAAATTGATTTTGGAATATCTCCATATATTGTTATTTTCCCTTTTAGGCTCTATTCGAGAATCCATATCAATCTTTGCAGGTACTATTTTAAGGTTATCTTCGGTAAAAGTACGAGAGCTTGAACTAAACGCGAAGCACATTTCCAGTCAGAAAAATGCCTCAACATCCATGAAAATTTGCAAAATTATAACTCATACCTCAATAATATAGTGTTCTTAAAAATTTCAAAATATTCCATGAGTACTTTATTTTTGTTTCAATACGTGAAGGCATAGCCCATTTATCATTACAGCATAGGAGAAAATACGCGAAACACATTTTATACCAGTAAAAATGAATCAACTCGGTAAAAAATGAGAAGTATGATAAAAAATGCTGCTCTCTAAAGGATAGTGAAGCCAGAATATCATTAATTTTTAATTTATTTTATATCTGAAAAAACGTTCCAAATTTGGGTTCTATTTTTTAACATTAACCGAAGATAGCCTTAATGTCGATGCATTACGCATGGAATTGTTTTACATTTCCTGCGACAGAATTTTATTATAATTAAAAGCAGAGATACTGAGCATATATAAATTCAAGATTTCATCTAAATATTGCACGCGTCAGAAAGATTGTCACATTGCCTAAAGGAAACTTTAAATATAAATCAAACTGTTCATGTAGACAACCAATGAAGTTTTGGTAGATCAAATCTACACTGGAATATAATTTAATAGACAGAATTCATAAAGTGGTTATATATAGTACAGTGCTTCTCAAACTTTCAATGTTGGAGACCCAATTTTCAATCATAATTTTCATGGCGCCCCTTCATATAATAAAAATGTACTCAGTTCAATAATACTTTGACACTAAAGCTGCAATACGACTTTAATTATAAACTGCACAAATTATCAAGACAAGTATTAAATTGCGCATACAATTTTGTATGTGAAAAGCCAATAGGGTCATTACTAATTATTCACCTTGTCCTTAACTTAATATTGATGAATTAATGATCAAATACATAGTGCAGTGTTCTGATACATTTATAAGTATTCTATTTTATTGTATAAATGTGTATTGTTTATTATCTCAGAATGTATTTTGATCTAATTCCTTTCATTAAATTAATATTTTTTAATATTTTATTTTCAACTTTTTGATATACTCGCGCCCACTAGTAGGGTTAGCACTCCCCTCTAGGGGGCGTGCCCCACAGTTTGAGAAACGCTGGGTTGGTAAGATACAAGTCGCGGAGCCTGAAGTGGAAAAAATTCGATGAATGTCCGCATCATGTCCTGAGTTACAAAAATGGAGTAGTTCTCAAATATTTTTCTAACTACAGGGTCTGTTCTGAAAGGAGTAGGACTTATTTTTTCCTGAGCGAACGGGCGGACAAGAGGCGGTGTGTGCGTTCACGATCGGTGGAGGAGGATATTAGGAATGTTGGGAAAAATTGGCAGTTT